TTGCAGCCAGCCTGAGAAACTTAGTGACAAAATAAAAGAAACGAAATGGTTGAGGATCATTATAGTTTGTGTCTAGATGTCCCCGCAAGGCCCCGCACAGTCATAGGGCAGCTTCTGGAGTTTGGGGTTGATTCATGGTCCAATGCTAGTGCTAAGGACGTGAGCACTACCCCGCCATGGGATGGGCAGCCCGCATACAATATAAGGCAGGGAGAGAGCCTTGCTGGCTGCTGCAGCCGCTGCCCCTCCCTTTGTGCTGCTGACGTCCGCCACCATGAACGGCTGCCCTCTGCCGTGTGCTGCGCTGCCGTGGAGCCAGCTGGAAGGTGGACTGAAACCTCCACAAACGGGGTAAATAAACCTTTCCTGCCTTCTCAGCAATGAGAGACAAGTAACTGAGACCGGGACGTCCGTCAGTGTTAGATTGCTGAGCATGTGCCAGGCCCTGAGCTCAATTCTTGTACTGCATTAAACAACAAAGAAACCAAAAGAACGATAACTGTAGTGACATTGGCAGTGGCCAAAATCCAGAAATGACCTGCTGTCCACTGTCATGGTGGGCACAGTGGGGGTGGAAAGAATGGGGGGCGTGAAGGCTGAGCACAGGACCGGCTGGGAGCCTCGCGCGGGCGCTGCGTGTGTCTGGGCCGGCTGGTGCTCCTGGCGTGCTGGCTGCGAGCTCGCTGGGCTCCACATGCAGGACACACAGCCTTTCCTGCGTGTGAGCCTCTGCCTGGTGTGTCTGAGATGGTGACACCGAAGATCCAGGACAGGAACATAATGGGAAACGTCATGCTGTGGGAAGCCAAGTGTGGGAATAGTGCAGAAATTAGCACTCACGGTACATGAAGCTGCCCCGGATACCCCTCTTCCCCCAAAGACACAGCGTTGGAGATGACTGCAAGGAGGTTCAGCAACCTGGCGGATTTCTGATGCTTTTGCCTTTTCACCTTACATCTCTTTTTTGATTAAATTTAAAAACCAATAAGACATCCTCTTTGTGAGGATGTAAGAGGTAAGCTATTTTCCAGGAAGCAGAGATCGATACAAGTCTCTGGGGCCACGTCCTGTGCTGGAACGGATCTGGGGCAGTGCTGGGCAGGGGGACAGTGGTCTCTTTCTCCTCCTTGCCACCCTCTTCCTCACCCCTGGTGGCTTACTGCCCCGTGGAGTCAGGCTGTCCCTTCTGAAGTCTGGGCCTGGCTTTCCCCACCTGGTGAAGGGGCTGGAGAGGCACCTGCATACAGCAGGGTCGAGGACCCGTAAGCGGCTGCTGTCTTTACTCACCTGTCCCGGGGTGGGCGCCTCCCAGTGCGGGGGGCCGATGGGATGTTTTAGAACTGGGAGTAGTCTAGAACCTTCTGGGGATGGAGCCCTAACTACCCAGTGCTAGCCACCTGTGTCCTTCCTGCCGCACTTTAATGTGTCCCTTCAAGGAGTGTCATCCCTGCCACTTTCCAGAGGAGACACAAGAGGCAACTTGCCTGGGCAGAACCAGACTGTGGCAGATGCCCCTCACCCTGGTCTTGCCCCTGGGTGAGGATGTGAGAGCCAGCGTGCCGCACCTGAGACCGCCACGGACATCTCCAGAAGGGCAGCACTGGGGGCGTGTGGAGGCGCTCTGCACCCAGGGCTGGCTCGAGCAGCACCAGCTCCTCCCAGTGGGGAGAAGGCGGCGGATGCGTGCCTGTTGCCCTTGGCACCCCGAGCACGCCCGGCACTGTCTCGACCTGCCAAGTGCCAGTCCTCACTGCTGTGGGCTCTGAGGGGTACAGGCCTTGCCTGCGCTTCACCAGTATTCTGAACTACAACTCAAAACGGGTGTGCTGGGTGTCCCAGCTTTCCAGCCAGCACTGACTAGCGTGTGCTGTTCGGCTTACAGTGACACAGCTCAATGGGGCTCTGCTGGCACCTGTCACACTACACTGCAAAAGACCGAGGAGCACGAGTTCTTGGCCATCCTGGTGGCTGACTAGGCCGCCCATTCCAGACAGATACCTTCAGATCACCTTTCTGATTGCAACATTTCAGGGACCAGACAGGAAGCGTCCCCGGTGGGAAGCTAACCCTCAGGGGAAGAAAGGCTCTTGGCCTCAAAGAACAGCAGACTCGGTGGCATTCTGCATCCCCCAGGTACTGGGAGTGTTTTAAGAAGTTAGTTTTAGAAGGGCGAAAAGTATTCGTGGGGCTGTGGTGCAGCTTAGCAGGACAGGGCCGGTGTGGTGTATGTGAGCCCTGGGCTCCAAAGCACTGCAGAGTGAAACCAAAAGCCGTGTGCTGTGGCGAGGTGTCCCCAAGCCTCGCTGGTCATAGGTGGGGCTTTTCAGAGGTGGCTGGATCGCAGTTGTGACGCTGGGAAAAGGGTGTGTGGTGGGTCCACTGGTTGGTGTGGCACCGCCCTGCGCCCGGTGGCCTAGATAGAGGATATATAAGGGTAGAAAGAAGCTGTTCTTGGGGCTGGAGAGATGGCTCAGTGGTCTAACGCACCTACTTGAAACAAGCTTGGCAAAGCACAGGGACCGCGGTTCGATCCCCAGC